CAGTGTAAGTACAGAATTCAGCAACCCATGCTTCTCAAATGGTTGATACATGCCAGCATATCTCTGCTGAGTAGACTGATGCCCAGTATGTCAGTGACAGGATTGTCTGATCCTAATTATATATTTTCAGGCTGTCATCAAACTGCTGGAATATTTCTGTGTGTTGCCTAAAACACCCAACAATCTGCTACAGATGTAGACCCTGTTTTGTGGAACCCATTACAAGGTGTCATTATATACACATATACTACACTCATTGCTTCTGCATGCCCACAGAGACAACAGTTGCCAACAGATTTATAGTTTGTACTTTTTGTCCAAGATTTACAGTGTCACTGATTGTCAAGACATCTGCGTGTGCCTAACTACCTGCAGTGAGGATCAGTGATCTTATCATGCAGCTGAGAATTGGTTTTTTATGTTTAACCTCGTCAATGGACGTCTGTGCTGAATGCCCTTCCCTTTCCAGTCAGTGAGAATCAGTTAGCCTGTGCTAATGACAGGATAATGCAAACTCCAGTGCAGAAGCTACTATTCTAAAAAATAAGGAAAAAATGTGTGAAAGGTGCAAATATCTTTCATACAGATTTGCAAGAAAATAATCAATTGGCAGTTGAGTTGTTGAAGCTGCCTGCAGCAGCCATCACTGTCTCTCTGAATAACATAACAATGATGAAGGCTGCAGTTCAGAAATATTTATGAGACAACCATACTTACTACCCTGTCTGAACTACAGACCTGCTGGGGATAAAAACAAAGATAATATTTCCAGCAGCCAACTTGCTCATTGAATGAAGGCACTTTCCTTCCTGCAGATAGATTTACCATTCCAATAGAGTTAGAGCTGCAAGTAGCATACTTCCCGGGTTAACAGTTGTTTATGTCAAAATACTGTCTTACTGGGTTTCCAACCTGTACTTATCTTTAAATGATGTATCACAGTGACTTGACAGTGAACTTTAGTAGATATTTATGTATTGTAGTTTATATCCTGGCTTGAAGGTATACAGAAATCTAGGACTTGCATATAGTTAGCAGTGACAACTAAACACTCATCAGGAATATGCACATGATAAGTTAACAATTCAGTAAATTTTCCATCAGGACAATGCCTATCTTGAGGATTTTACTTATGTATGTATATATATGTATACACCAGATGGTAGTGAACAATATTGTAGGCCTCTCCAAACAAGTATTTCAGCTATATCATGGAAATTCATCTTCGTGCACAGAGAAAGATTTAAAATTTGACCGTCGCTAGGATATTGCACCAATACTGCTCACTACACAATTCATGTAGCACAAAAATTAGCCTCAATGTGGTCAGCATGCAACTGCTGATAAAGCATCATATCATTACAGTCAGGGTTCACGAGTATGTTTGTCATGGAGATGAACAGGATGATGATACAGATGTGGTTCCCACTCAGCAGCATCAGCAGCATCAAGTCTGCTGGTACTGCTGGGTAGTGGGACTGCCAGGAATCACCATGTCACTTGAATCAGGTTAGTCCTGCCTGGAGTAACCATCAGGACTGTAGTGGCCTTAAGAAATGATTGTCAACCCTTGAAATGTTCCTGATCGTAAGAAGACAAGAGGTGACACCACCTTCAATGGCTAACTCAGAGGTGGGAATTGTGATGTCTGCAAATTCATGCCTCACTTCTGCTAGTGTTAAGTCACAAATGAATTTTCACCATCTTCTCATGTTAATTGAAATAATGAATTCAACTGTCTGGTATTGTAGAGACTGTCAGAAAGGAATTCAGGATGTTCATCATCATATTTGTAAATGGGCAGGTGTCATGTTTGTTGCACACAGTGTCACTATGCAACACCATCATGCATGTGCTATCATGTCTTTGTTTGAAAAACCCCATCAAAATGTTGCTTCCTGGTTGTGGGTTGACAAAACTGATCCATGTACTAATATTGCCCACAAGTACAACAAGGAATTTGATAATGTATGTTATGGTTGGTGAAACCCGGCTTGAGGTTTTACATTATACACCAAAAGTGAGGAATGTCCAACTGCAGGAAGCACCAGATTGAATTTTTAAAAATAAAACCCCATAAGGATATATATCTTATGGTGAAACAATACAGCTGTCACAGTTTATAGCCGAATCGAAGACAATGAACAAGAGAAAGACATGACCTAAGACAAGGGTTAATCTCTGTCTGATGTTCCTGCATGATCAAGAGCAATTGAATGTACTGGTCAGTCCTCTTGATATGACATGCTTGTAGGATCTTGCAGGAAGCAAAGCATCACTGTTGCCACATTTTGAAAAAGGCTATGAATTTCTTTTGTGCTTTCTTGTCATAGTGTTCACAGATTGGTCTGGTTCACAGGGACTGAGCATGTTCCCGGAGCAAGTCTGTCAACGGTATTTCCAGACCGATGTTAAAACTTAACTACATCAGTATACCTGTGATATAACTGATTCGGGCAAGCTGAGCAATCACAACAAGACAAGGCTGCATAGGGCCTACCATATTATATATTAACGATTATGTGAATGTTGGGAATATGCAATGCCGTTGTCAAATGTAACACATATTTTATTTAGATTACACCTTCTCATTTAAGTACAGATTTAGTACTTTTTGGGGTTGAGTCCCATCCAGGATTCAACCCACACTGTCAGAGTAAGGGACCGAATCACAAGCACACAAAGTCAGCCATCTCACCCACTCAACCACCACGGCTTCCACAATAATGGAAGTCTGACAACTGGTAGTCTAGTGGAGTTGGTTAGATTGCTGACTAAGTGTTAGTTTTGTTAGGTTTAAGGTAACTGGCTGCGGCAGCTTCATGACCTACTTTGAGACATAGATAAACTAACCTAAAGTGGGCTAGATTAGTTATGTGTTTATAAAAATTACAAATCTATAGGGAAACCACCCAATACCCAAAATAAACACCAACTGCTTTCCTGCATACATTCTGATCTGAAAACAGACCAAAATGGCAGGTGTTCAGTCGACAATAGTTGCAATCCAACCACAGAAATATTTTGCTAATGTACCTGCCTTGCCATGAATGTGATTCAGTCTTGCAAAGAGAGATACACATTAGTTACGTAATGCCTTCCACTTAAGACTTTCTGTGATAGGAACATGTAAACTAGTTATTGTCCATGAAAGTAATATTGAGTATGATTATATATTTACGTAACAACACATTGGTGTGCATAAAAATGATTTGGTTTATTTTAGAACATATGAAAGATAAATTTATTCATAATACAGCAGATGTACGTCAACATACCGGTATACACTTTTTCCATGTCCCATTCTGCTTAACCAGTCAGACGTACCTGTTATGTTTGTCTAGTCGAGCAAAGATTAAATATTATTGATGTGGAAGTATTCTGAATGGAATACTACATTCATATAATTTATGCAAAATGGGGAATTACTGTATTAATTCAACCATATTGTAATCTTGATATACTTCACTGTACACACAGCTGACTGTAGGGGATCAGTGCCAGTAATGAATTAATTCAAGTACCATATTTTGTGTATTTAGCACTTTCAAGCACATCTGACCAACATTTAGTCCAAACTGACAAGTAATCTTTCCTACAATGATCAAGAGTGTATGTGACATTCCATTATTTCTTGTGTATTTTATATTATGGATTGTTTTACACGAAACAGCAGCGGCGAGTATGCATCAGCTTCATGGCAGGGGGTTTTAGTTTCATCCATGTTTGAACTAAGCTTATTCATTATTGCTCAAGCAGATTTAACTTGTGTTTGGTTCAATTTTAGTTCTCCCATTGTCATTTTCCAAGATCACAGAGTGCATATTTCAGTAAATATGGCATTTAATTTCGAGCAGTCCCAATCCTCACTTCATGATTTAGAACTTTCACAACATATTGATTCTGCTTCATTGATTTTATAGCTGATATACATCTCCATGAAATTTTGAAAGATTGTTCTGGTTACGTTCCAACACCCTTCCTTCCTCTCCACACAGTATGGTCAGTAGGACAGACACTGACCAGTCCTGACCTTATTTCGGACTCCCTATCGGGATTCCTGATTTGGAATTGGTCTCCAGTGAGGAGATTTAATGGATGATCCAGACGGTCAAACTCCCTGACTTTGTTGTGCTTGATAATAGGTCATTGTAACCCAGTAGAGTGGATCATTACTCATACTGTCAATCACTTAATCAGATGGTCCAGACTTATCACTGACCGTGGTCACTAACCAACAAACATTTCAGACCACCAGTAACTTGGAACTTGTACCTTGGATTTCAGAGAAACAAGAATTTCAGATGCTTATGCATGACTGTGGACAAGTGGTTATGTCTAGCCCTTGGTCATATATTTCTTGCTGTGCTCACACATGTGGACATTGTCAGATTCATCATTAATTTGCTGCAAAGATGTAAATGCATTTGGACTGTATTTTGTCATGTGCTTTTAATATTTAAATGTCTTCTGGTTCAAGTATCTTAACAGATACACATATTGTCCATCTTTCATGGTGGAGCAGGGCATGTTATCCTTTTCACAAACTCCTGATATAATCACTGATAACAGAGGTCCATTCATATCATTTTCATCACCATTGTGCCTTTTAAGCCCAATGGAGTCTGTTTGGGCAGATAATCATGACTGAATATTCTACTGACCTTTGTAATTTAACAAAGCTGGCACCAAAATGTGAGCAAGCAGAAGATGTCTATTCATACCCTGACAGTTTATGTTCCTGTTCAACCAGGTTTTACAAACTTAGGCGTCTCATGTCGTCATATTGACTCGTAACCAAATTTGGTGTGTGGGTTTTCCTCCTCAGTCCCCCTGTCCAAATGTGACAAATCAGTACAAATGTATTTAAATCTTCCAAATGTGATTGTGCATGCTTCCATCTAGAAATAATGTATTTGTTTCTCGAATCAATTTGAAACTTGACTAAACTTGGAAAATTATCATCATTTTAATGATCTTCATGTTCTTCTGATTTTCAGAGTCAAAGGTCCTGGGTTGAAAAGACATTTTTCAAGCGAGAGTGTTCCAAGTTCATCAAGAGTTCCAGAGATGCAACAAAGTGAGTAATCACTGGTGTGTTCAGAGACATTTACAGGATCAGCACCTCCTTCAACAACACAATCTAGTGCTATGACTGTTGTAATCCTGTATTAGTGGTGAGGATTAACAATAATCATTGCATTGTGTTGTGAAAAGCCTGAAGAAGGCTACTTCTGTCCACAGGTCATCTGTGTGCAGGGATATGCTCGTGTCAAGTAGGAACGTATTCCTTCCATAATTAAGGTCATTGGTGAGCCTTATGAGGTGTTTTGGTCATCTTTAGTAGTAACTTGGTATACATCACACCATCGTACACAGGGAATATTTATACATCAGGTTAGTCAGTGATCATTGCAATGGCATGGTGGAATGGTATGTATTATTAAGGAGATTACTGTCCAGATTTTCCATAGTGAAAACAAACAATCTCTGGATCACACATAGCTCACTGTGAAAATGAGGAAGGACAGAGTTAGCGTTAGTGAAACACTCTCATTAGGCCTGAAACCTTGCAGTGTCAACAGCTTGTTGGGAATGTCCATATGTATTACTCACAAGAAGTTAGGGAACACCAGATTGTTTCATACGGCTACAGATAATCTGTCAGGACACTGGAAAGATAAGACGTAGTATCTCACCACATAACTAGCCAAATATCTATTTAGTATTATACTCCACAAAATATGTGCTATTTGAACTGGGTACTGAGAAGGAAGCACTACATGGCCATCATGTTGTAATGTTATGGTCTAAGCAGTTGTGTAAAATTTATTTTTGTTGGTTCTGAAGGTTCAAGTTTTCAAGTATCCCACTCTGTTCGCTTTCTCATGATAATTGTTGCAAAGAATGTTTTAATGTTTGTATTTTCTACAGACATACAGAACTCTAGTCGAGATATAGTTGTATTTAATATTTAAGTGAGGCCCTATTCACTCACAAAATCACATGTATCTTGCTATGCTGGCCTTGTTGAAGTGTTGAAATCCCCAAAGGGATTTTGTTTTCCACTAACCAAAAGACAGTTCTGAAAGATTTTTATCAAGTTTTGATTAAACTTCTTCTTTATGTTAACAATGTTTTTAAAACTATATAAGGCAGTTTGGAAAGCAATATCATTGTGGCCTAGAACACTGACGCATGCTATGCCAGCAATCTGTTGTTCGTACTCTCTGGGGACAATTGTATAACCAGCGAGTTGGTGCACCACAGTCCTGCAAATCTGACATAATTAAAATCACTGGAACAGCTACTGTTGTCCACAGTATGAACATTTGGATGGCTAACACAGAACATCAAATCTGTGGCTTCCTATTGTTCTATTGTTCTGTTGTCAGTGACCAGTCAGAGCACATTCCCATATAGATCCAGCAATGTAAAACACCTTGTTAATTTCGAATCTTTCATAGGAATATTGATTCTTGCAATCAGATTTTTCTGATGCTATGATTAACCCGTGAAAAAACAAATGAGGATACTCGAATAATAACTTAATCTTTTTCACTCCAAGTATTCAAGACCATGACATGTTGTCTACAGAAGAAAATGAAAACCATTCAAAAGCCTGGAACCGCATTAAAATTACATGTCTGTATAAAGAACTGCAAGCTTCCGGCTACTGTGACACACTGAATGTCCACAAAGCCAAGACAAATTTGATTTCTGTTTCTAGCTGGTCTATTTTGGTGGAGGCTGTCTAAGCCTGGCTCCCATCATGCACTGCTATCTTGATGAAGGGGGTGTTAGTGCCTGGAAGGCATACATTTGTAAGCTTGATGGAGAAGGCTATGGCCCCCTTAACAAGCCTGCGTTACGCCTGCGTTACTCTGGCACTTACAAGGCTACAAGGAGAATGATTTCCTTTAAATTACAGTAAGAAATTGGAAAAGTTCTGGAAGTTTAATGGTTCTGAGAATTTGGATATGTCTGGCATTTAACATGGCATCAATGGTGAACACACACCATGAGGTAAATGGCAATAGTTTACACAGCTGCCAATTAGGGAAATGTGAAGCATGTACTTGCCAAGGGTCTTTTAGAATTGTGTGAAAAACAAGACTGAACTCCTGGACCAATAAAAAAACAGTTCTCATTGTTAAAATTAGATTTGATGAATCATTGGGTTGAAAATACAGAAAAACCTGATCTCATGAAAAATTGGAAAGAGCTTTAAAATATTTTTAATGATCTGGTTTTGGAAACAATGTCTCTGAGCCTGGAGCAGTGATTTATATAAACGTGTGATAGGGAGAGTAAGGAGATTACAGTGACACTTGAGTCTCTGCAGCTCGGCTGGACACAATCGGAGTAGCGAGGGATGAGGGCTTGCATATAGATTCTGTCAACATACCGCATGTACTGCCCCTGTCAAGACTGAACATCACTGTCAATAAAGAATATCAGGGCTGCTTAATTCTATTGTATCTTGCTGGCGGGAAGGAAAACACACCTTCTGATATAGGTTGAAGGAGATTACATTTTGACGGCACATTTGGATTTCAGGATATGCTGAATGTTGTAGTCCATGAAGTTTAGTTAGGATGGAGGCAAAATAAAATTAAAACACTTAGTAATAAAAGAATTGCAGAGGTTGATCATGGCCTAACACATAAAATTTGCACCTAGAGTTGTGGAAGGGTATGCATTCAGTAATTGTGCTAGATCATGTTCTCACTTGAATTGATTTACATGCTGTAACGATTTTCATATTTCTGTCATTTATCCAGGCTAATTTCAAAGGCCATTACACTTGCATTGCTGGCTCGTCGATCTGTCTTACAATATTGTCTCAGGCATAACCAGAAGAGAAATTGATAATGTGATCAAATGAAATGTACCAGAAGAAGCTCTGCAAAATCTCATCCAAATCAAGATATCAATGAATCCATTGCTCCCAATCCTGGTGTGAATGAGTGATTATGTTGAGTACAATGTTGTCTTTTTTCATTTTGGAAATATGTGAGAAACATGAAAATCATTATGTGAATGTATGAATATCTTGATCAAAATTGACATTCTGTGATTTTTCCCCACCAATCTTGACATCCTTGACAGTTGGAGCAAGAAAAGAACTAAGACAATACATGGATGATCATTCTTCATCAGCATGAGCATTTTCCATGAGTTCCAAACATGCCAAGAACATGATGATTGTGTCAGAATCACCTTTGACTTGTCACACCTAATCATACAAGTTGCTATCTATAGGTTGTTTGCTTTCAACATTTGAAAGAAAGAAATAGCACTAATCAAGGCCAAAATATTTTCAAACTATTTAGAGAGAATGCTTGAAAACATCTGTCAATGAGAATGAAGTCTGACTCTTTTCCAGGACACCTTTCTCTTTTCCTAGAACACCTTTCTCTCTGGGTGTACAAATTTCTCTTCCCTTGGCACTAGGTTATTTCTTATCCCCAAAAGAAAAGTATTTTTTGAGGTGCAAGATTCAAGAAAGGTCATGCTCCCAATTCTTCATCAATTTAAAATACATTCCGTGCTATTTGTTTGGAATCACAGTTATCATTTTATTCCATGGCTCAGATATTTATATTGTCATGGTACCTAAGTATTTGACAAGTATGAATCTCATCACCGTACATTGCAATTTTATGAATCTAAGTAAAGTCTGTTGCAGTTTCTCCCACCCACCAAAAAACTTCCAGCTTCAAGTTTGTCATTCAAATTTTAGAATATTTATAGATGAGTATGTTTTATAACTGTGTCATATGACTGTAATAATGTGCTGTGCTTTGATTGTAAGCGCTATGAGCATACCTGGTGTGGAGTTTGGTGCTATATAAATGGACACATTATTATTAACTGCCAAAAGCAATGTAGGTTTTGTTACATTTTATGAAAAAGTTCTCACCCTTAGCCAGGATAATGTAATGTGTGGGAGTGTCTTGTTTATGGGAACATACACAAGTTAATGCACTCTACAGTATCCTCAGCATGTCAACTTTCCACGAATACAATGTTGAATGTTTTCTGTGACTGAGATGCAAATGGAATCAAACAGTGTTTAACATTACTAAACCTATCAAGATCAATGAAAACCAAATACTTCACCTGGCATTGTTCAAATACAGGTGCCAATGGAATGATTTACGGTTTTGGCAAAGATAACATCAATGCAGAAATTGATCCACTTGTGAAACAGGTGTATACGAAAATAAGAATCATGTGCAAATACAGGCATGGTAATGAAACAAGTTCAAGTGAAATCAAGGCGACTGATACTGTTTGGTGTTCTGTAATATTGTGTTTGCAAATGTCCTTGGAGAGAGTAGCTGTGATTCACCTGGTAGAGGCATTCACAACATAATGTGGAGTAACTTGAAGACTCCTCAAGAAAAATCAAACAAACATTGCCTTGTTTAAATGTAAGATACTGTTACAACAGACAGGGATATTAAAGTGCTGTTGCTGTGATGGTTCGTACCTGTTTGTGCTGATTAGGAAGTGACGTTTTCAGTCTTCCTTTTCGCCCATGAAAATATCATTGGAAAGTCTTAGTTGTTTCTTCAAAATGATTTATATCCTAAAGATATGGACAAACAACCTTTCAGTGGAACCACAGCTGTGCATTTTATAAGATACTTTAGCTCAGATCATGAGAGTGTCTTCTTTACCATATATGAGAAAAATTGTTTGGACCAAATTTGCTCACAGAAATCAGATCCAGTTTTAAAAATGACGGCCTGTTGCATTTTATCATTACAAAGTTTGATTAATAGTTAGTGTGTGGTTCCCTGGCTACCCCATTATTGAATATTGGCTCAAGATTTTCTTAATCTTGCTTATGACTATTTATCATATTTTTCACATTTTCCCAAATCCGATCAGCCTCGTATTAGTGATGTGGCCTTTTGAACCGGAGGTGTGATTCATAATCATACTGGCCAGTCTAATTCAAGTAGTTTCGAAAGTCACGGTAGAGTTAAAAAGGGTGATACCAACAACACAGACTAATTGTGTGTCCAAACAAGTTTACCAGTGATTCAGGTCATTCAAACACCACTT